GTGCTTCTTTTTGGAAGGTATTAAAATATAATTTTAAGGAAAATGTATGTAAAAAAAAATGACATTAAATTCTTAATAATGCATTTCATAAGTTTTTGAATTYAAGCTAACTTTCATATTTATATTATATATTAAGTAGCTTAAATTACAGAAATAGGTTAATTACAAAAAAGTATTTCAAAAGAACAATTATTGTGGACTGAAAATAACTTTTATACATATACCTAGGTACCTAAAAAAAATATATAACTTAATATAATGTAGGTACACTTTATTGCATAAATAAAACAATGTGTTTACCTAACATAATAGTAAATGTATTTAACTTCTATATCTGTGCTATTGATGCTTACCACTAATTAGCTATAAGTATTATTTAAATCATAGTAGTAATAATAATAATGAGGAAAGAGAGATCGTAGGTCGATTAATTCAGAAAGAGCTGTAGCCATAGCTACTAAACCACTGGTAAGTCCAACAATAATAATTGTATACATGTACAATTTGGATTTCCATGATAGACTCCTAAAAAAAAAAAAAAAATACAATTAACACATTTTAAAATTATGTTATAACGTTATAAGTATATAGTTATTCATGAGATTTTAAATTTAATGGGTAACGCTTTGGTTTCATTGATATCATTTGGTATTTTAGATTTTGAKTKGGGCGAGAAATGTATTGATTTTACCATGATGTGTGTTGTTTTAATAAATTTTTTTTGTGTCTGTCATCACGTTTTTGGGCAGTAAAAACGCTTCGATTTTYGTCTTCAGTACCTTGTTAGATCAGAAAGTGGATGTAGTTGGTACTTTGAGGAGTCGAAAGGAAAAAATTCTCAATATTTTTCTAAATAATCGAGATAAACAAACTAATAACTATGGAAAAAACGAAAATTTTTACGCACTATTATAGTTTTAGTTTTCGACAAAATCGATTTTGGTTTTTGATGTAATTTTAAAACAAATGACCATAGATACATGAAATTTTCACCGAATGTTTAAATAAGTATATTCTATCCACCATGCAATTTTCAAAATTGTCGACTTAAGTTGAATTATTTATAGGCATATGCAATTTTCGATCATTATTAGTATTTTTTCAAATTAATATCGATAAAAATGTATTTGTTTGGTGGAAAAGCTTAAAAATTTAATGAAAGGCTCCTAAAATATCATTAAAATAGCAGTTGAAAAATAAAATAAATACATAGTCACAATTTTTTTTTTATAAGCATTCAAATTTTATTTTGACAACTTATGTAAAAATCACGAAAATTCGCAAATTATTTTAAGCTAGAAATTCATAAACATTTTTTTTTTAAATCTAAGATTTGAAAATACAATACAAGATTCTTTATAAGTTTGACTACTTTTATCAAAAAAATAATTAATAATTACCAGAAAGTCAAATATTTTAATAAGTATTAATAACAAGTAATAATAATCTATAATATATCCTAGACAGATAATAAAC